TGTAATTACCCCAAAAAACGGTGGAGAGAGCGGCTATGGAAGGACTGGGGGGAGAAATAAAATGTTCTGAAGAAGAGGGGGTAAGAACTGAAAAATTAAGCTGTTTCATTGGATTATTGGTAACTGGATAACTTGAATGGTATAGGTATTATTGTATCAATATTTAACAAACAATATGTAAAAGAAATAAAATAAAATTACAAGCTAAAAACAGTGCCTATCGTGAAGGGGGGGGGGAATGGCAACCTCTGAGGAAGAGCAAGACTGGGACTTAAATATGCTAGTGGAAGAACTCACATACGGACAACTCAAAAGATTTCTGTCACAAACAGTTAAGCAAGCAGTTGAAAAAGCGTGTAAGAATTTACTGGAAGAGCCTAGAGAATTAGTAGGTATAGAAAATATTAGAGAACCTAGTATATGTATGCAAGTTTCACTTGAACTGCAAGAACATGGCCAGGAGAGGGAGCCAGTGAATAAGAAATTAGTGACTTTGCAAAAGACGGCTCATGATTCAGATGTTTACAGAAAATACTTGAAGAATGATCAAATAAAACAGAAATTTTAAAAAAAGAGCAAAGAAAGGACATTCTTTAAGCATCTTTGTACAAAAGAGAAAGAAAGTAATCAAAAAGAGGAAATTAAGAGATGATGGGGAAAAATTTGAATGCCCCAAAAGACTGACAAATGCTATATGGAAGAAGAGAAGGCTAAGACTGAAACCAAGATTCCAGGAATACAAAAATTATAGACACCGTGAAGAGATTGGAAAGAAGGAAGAGATAATGGAAAGATGGGGGGGGGGGGGTTGGAGAGCAATATATAAGTGTAATATAAAATTTTTCCAAGCTGATAAATGATGGTTTCTTGAGATAAGAATGGGTAATGATGAGAAATCATGCATAGACTTAGTTTGTGGTGGAAGGCTGAAAGATGAGGTTGAAGATTTGTAATTTGTTTATATTTAATAGGTGGATTGGTATTATTGTATCACTATTATATGGTGTTAGAGAGTTTGATAATTATGAAGACAAAGGGCATGTTGGAATGAAATATTGGGTTTTGTGTTGGGTAATAAATTGGATAAAAATAGGGTATTTCCCTCCCCCTTAAATTGGTCTTAGAAAAAGAAAGTGTAAAGATATTGGCTCTTAAAAGCATTCTAAAAACATCTTTAAAAACAAGATAACGAGTATCAATATGGGACAAATATAATCAAATACTTGAAGAGATTTTTCATGATATAAATTTTTAATGTTAGATATGAATTTATTTGTGTGTCTTGTCTGCTCTATTTTTTTCTGTTAAGAGGGAGGTGGAAACAATCAAAAATGACTAAAACTGGAAAGTTTATAAGAGGGAGTAAATGAGGGTTTTCTTTGTCTCTTGGAGGGACTGCTGAATATGAATAGATTTGATAACAAATGAGATTGTGTTAATAATGATATAAGAGATATAGACCAGGTGAAAATAGTTAGATCTAGACTGGTTTTAATTTATCAATATATCTTCAATGAAATGGCTTATAAATGTCTAGGTACCTTGTATTTTAAATATAGCTCCGTAGGAAGACTTTTGATAACTTAATAAAGTTAATAGAATAATTTCTTTTGTAGGAGCTATGTGGAAATATAGGAAATACGTGATGTTAAATTAATAGAGGGATAAAACGAATAATATAATATTGACTGTTTGCTAATTATTATGGATGTGTTAAAATATGTGATTATTTTGTTATGTCTACTTTGAAAATTAATAAAAAGATTATGCAAAAAAAAAACAGACCTATGATGATGCAGCAGCAGCAGAACTGGATGAAGCAGCAGAAGATGGCCAGTTCCACTGTGGGCCTGAGAGAAGCCCTCCGGGGGCCTGATCCGGCCTCCTGGGCCACATGTTTGATACCCCTGCTTTAAATGAACGATTGGCAGTGTGTAAGCTATGCAATCCCTAAAGGCCTCTTATTTGGAAAACTCCTAGAACAAGGCGGAGACCACTTTTTCTTAAGTATTTGAGTCGACAGAAAAAACCCAGATGGGGATGAACAACAAGTTTATTTTACAGAAATAAAGTATTCAGTAGGGTGTATGTTTTGTGTGAGTGGCTTCAATACATAAGGTAAAACAGGTTCACAATTTCAACCCCCACCCAAGTTTACAGACTTCCCCCCCAAAGAGAGTAACTACTTCGTAGCTAAGCCTCAAATAAAGAAAATAAACCCTGAAGGAAGATTCAATTCCCCTTTCCCCACACAGGTTGCCTTGGCAGGTTCAAGGCGGCTCTTTTACCACACAGAGATCCTTTACACTTAGCTTGGGAACAATGCTCCCCCTAAGCTGCGGAGTCAAATAAACCCTGAAGGAAGATTCAATTCCCCTTTCCCCACACAGGTTGCCTTGGCAGGTTCAAGGCGGCTCTTTTACCACACAGAGATCCTTTACACTTAGCTTCGGAACAATGCTCCCCCTAAGCTGCGGAGTCTTGTGAGCCAAAATTCCGCTTTGTGAGCCACTGGCATTAAAGTTGTGAGCGATTTGGCTACTGCATAAATTAGTTTGCCTCTGGAGCCACATCCTTCCTGAGCTGAGACAAAAATCTGTGAGCTGGAGGCTAAAAAACTGTGAACTAGCTCACACTGACTCAGCTTAGAGGGAACACTGTTTGGGAATAACAGGCCCTTAATAGGATGCTCGTCACACTAAAACAGGCCTCCTTTCTTTAGCTGACCTCCAAACTCTAACTATAAGCCAAATACAAGTCTGGTTAAACTGGTGCTCCTTTCCAGAGCCATGAAATCTCTGTGGGGGGGGGGTCTTTCTTCACCCTTCTTAAGTGGAGGCTGGCTTAGCCCCTCCCCGTCAGTGGAGTTCTGCGGTTTCTGACAATCACTGGGATTTGCGTGAGACCTGAATCACGAGGACTGGTTCAGAGCCCCGGAGGAGAGGCAGGACATTTGAGGGTGGCTGCCCCCGTGCCGCTCCCTTCCGAAGAAACTGGATCACTGGAGGTCCCTGGGGTAGGGGGACCAATCTTAGAAAGGTCATCAGGGAACATCTCCAAGCACCTGTCCAACTATTATTTTTTTAACGGATGCCCAACTGAGCAGTCATGACAACCCTTTGCGTGCTTCCGGTTATCATATTAGTCAACACTGTTCTACCTCACTGCATTTGGCATATGGGGATAAGGGGCAAGTTACATCACAGTGTAAGTAGGGTATCATAAGTACCCAGAGCTTTATGGATAACTGAAGCAGAAGGGGAAGAGGAAAGGGAACAGGCCAGCATTTCAAAACAAGAAATACAGGCAAGTTGCCCTGACCTGGATAGCCCAGGCAAGTGAGATCTCGTCAGATTGCGGAAGCTAAGCAGGGCCGACTCTGGCAAGTACTTGGATGGGAGACTTCCTTGGAATACCAGTGTGGGGGGGGGGCAGGCTTTCTTCAGCCACCTCCCTGAATATCCTCCAGGCCTCCAGTAGGGGTCAGTCACCAGAGGTCGCCGTGACTTCCAGGTGCACGCACACACATACATGCACGTATAAAAAATACCCCAAAAATACAAAAAAGAGAAAAACAAGAAATACAGGCAAGTTAACAAATCTACAGGCAATCAGAGGGTTGGAATGAAGTGGTGGTGGGGATTGCAAGCAGAGTTGCACTGTTATAAGTGCACTGACTTCAATGGACTTAGAAGTTTATAACTGTCCTTAGGACAGGTGGGTGACCGTGTTGGTCTGAAGCAATGGAAAGCCTTTACCCAGAATTAAACTTTGTTCGTCTTAAAGGTGCCACCGGACTCAAACTTTGTTCTGTCCTTAGGACAGCGCTGGAAGACACGGCATGGCAAACAGTAGGTGGTAATAGGGGGGGGAAGCAAAAGGGAGGTACCTGCCCGACAGAAAACACCGTTAAGTGCAGTAAACAGAAACGAGTTCCTGGAAGAGCAGGAACAGGAAATTATGGAGGTGGATGAGGGCATAAGGGGAAAACAAGACAGAATGATATCAGTACAGAATATAAAACATGCAAATATGAAAAGCGTCACAGTACAAAATATTTGTTCAGGATTACATTTTGATAATGGAACAGGGTTGCAGTTAATGTTTGTGGAGTTTTGGGCAGTTCAATTGGATTTCTCATGGTTTCTATAGCACTGCTTTCTATTGTGTGACCCTTCTTGTTCTATTGCTTTAGCTGCGTAATATGCCTTGAGAGTCAGTGTTTTTAAAAACACTGCTTTGGAGGCAGCTGCCACCAGAGCACAAGAATCTTCACGGACTGACAAGACAAGCCTGGGCAGCCATTTTGTGTCTGGCTCTGACTCCCGCAGCAGCCATTTTATTTCAACTGTTTTGTGGCTGTACCCACCACGTTCTGCCTGAATCCCAAAGGTGCCCGCGGGGACCGCTGGTATAAAACAAATTAAGATCTAGTGAGCCATTCCATAGGACTAAGATTACAAAAAAAAATGAAGAATGCAAAGCGTATCAGACATGGTAAGTTAAGCAACGCAGAAAACTGAACTACAAGCTACAACAAGGGTGTCAAACATGCGGCCCAGGGGCCGCATCAGGCCCACGGGGGGCTTCTATTAGGCCCGCAGTGGAACTGTCTGTCTTCTGCTTCTTCTTCCAGTTCTGCTGCTGCTGCTGTGTCATCGTAGGTTTGCAGCTTACAGATACACACCTGAACAGCATACTCAAGATTGCAACAGCACAGACATTTTGATGCAATAATCCAGAGCAAGAGGTGTCAGTTATCAGACACTATTAAATAAACAAAATATTGCAAGAATGCTAATGTTTTTAAGCATGTTTTTATTTTAAGTTAAAAAAACCACCTTTATGTTTGTGTCCTTTATAAAGTTTATATCTCCGCTACCTGGCGTTACATTTTATGACACACATGGCCCGGCCCAACAAAGTCTCATTTATATCAGATCCAGCCCTCATAACAAATGAGTTCGACACCCCTGAACTAGAAAGTAATGCAGTAAGAGCAGGATAACAGAAGCAATAAACAGGCAATACGTACTATAGGCAGGAGGTATAGATTAGAGTCCTGGTCCTTCCTGAATCATTGCCAGATTACCTTTATAAAAATGCTCATCCAAGCAATACAGGTTTTTTTATTTTTTGTGGCATGACAGAAGAACGGGAGCCTTCTTCTAGGAGGCCGTTCGACAAGGTGGGAGCCACACCAGGGAATGCAGATGTAGTATGCTGATATCACCTTTTTTTTCCCCCAGGGGGGCACCTTAAAGAAGGCTTTGCTTGGATGAGTGACATCACCCCGGAGCCTAGTGGAAGTGGGGATCCTGCCGGTATGTGGGACTACAGCCACTGTGGGCTTTGCAGGTGATAATCAGTACACTGACTTGAACCAAGTAACTGATAGGCAATCCATGAACTGACTGCAGAACGGGCGGGGATGTGTGCGCTCCGCCGAGCTCCAGATAGCTGCCGAGCTGCAGTATTCTGTACCAACTTGAGTGTCTGAGCAGACTTCAAGGAAAGACCCACGTCGCGTTCATTACAGTAGTCTGTCTAGCCTTGTGGTATGGATCCAGGTACCCGGATTGGCCAAGTCAAGGCAGGGGGGGCCAAGTGCCAGGCTAGGTGAAGCTAATAAAATGGAAACATCTTTCTCTTTGGGATGGGGGTGAACAACAACGGTATCTACTATCTGAATCTGGGATAATCCCCAGCTGTTTTCCGATGTGAAAGTACACTGGCCACTTTACTCTAGGGACTAAACCAGCTATTTATGTGCAAAAGGGAAAGATTTACGTCCAAGGTGAAAATCATCCCTCACCCTTGGCAGCTATCTGGGCACAGGTAGTTTTATTCCCTGTAGCAGCTTCCCCCTCCAAATAAGTCCCAGATGTTAACCCCACAAGCCCAAGGCCGCTGCTCTCCTCTTCTTACCTCGTTATATTCCTGCACATCGTCCTTCAACTCCTCAAGCTCCTCCTTTTCTTTGGTCAGCATTTTCTTCTGCTCTTTCAGTTTCGTGCAAGCGTCGCTCAGCAAGTCAATCTCTTCTTTGGTTATTTCTTCGCCCTGCATGAGAGAAAGCCAATTTTAACATCTGTTCCAGAGTATGAAGTTGGGAGTCCAGCGGCCCCTTTTAAGACTCTGTTGGTCTTCGAGGTGCCACTGGACTTGAACTCTGTTCTGCCACTTCAGACCAACATGGCTACCCTACCTGAATCCATGATCCAGAGTATGAAAGCCTTCTTTCAAAAATAAAGGTTTTAAGCAGGTATGGCAGGTTTTTGGCTTCTTACATGCATAATGTCATTTATTTTATGAATGCAGTTCTGAAGGAAATGCAGAATTTATCACCGGTGAATATTTCACTGTTGGAAATGTGGTGGTCCTATTTGCATTAGGGTAAGAACAACCCTTTCAATAAAGGAATCATTCAATTAAAAAACAACAACAACCAGACTACTGGATGCCAGGAATCTATTTATTTATTTCAAACATTTCTTAGCTGCCTTTCTTCCTTATGGAGCTCAAGGCAGCTTACAACAGAGATAAAATACATAAAATAAAAATTAAGATGCTGAACTGCAGATCGGAAAGTCGGTAGTTCAGGTCCTTCCGGTATGGCGCGACGATGGGCAGGCAGGCGTTTGATGCGCTCTGTGCTGCCCGACCCTCTATTGTTTCTTTTGAGCCTCCCAGGAGCTGGGAGAGCTTGACCAACACTCTTTGATAGAGTGTAGGAGCAGGGGGCTTTTTTCTGGCCCCTCCCGTGACCCGGCAGTTGCTTTGCCCCGAAGCAGGAGCGATAGCAGGGAAGAACATGGCCGCCATGTTCGAGCTAGTCGCAGCCTCCGGTTTTTAAACCTTCTTTTTTTATTGTTGTTATTTGGTGGATTCGATGCTTCACATTGGAAGACTGGCTTTGTGCATATTTTGGTCGAGTAGAATGGATTATATACCCTTTGTAGACTTCTCTTTTTCGGTGTATGAAGAAAGTGGCCGTGGACGATGTTTGGGAAACAAATGCTATGAGACTTGTAAAGGGTGAGACGAACTGCGTAAAGTACCATTACCCGTTAAAAACTATTGTTGAAATATACCTGAATTTGATTAAACTGGAAAGATATGTGTGGAATGAAGTGAAGACATGGAGGTGCTAGACGTGAAAGAAGAGATAAATGGAGATACAAAACTTTGTGACCTTACAAGGGAACAATGGGAACAGTTTCAAAAGCATTTAGTAGAAGAAATGATACAGACATTTAAAGTAACATGTGAAAACCTGCTGAGAAAATCCCACAATGAACTGTTGGAGCATAAGGAAGATAAGGAAAAAATACAGGGAAACCAAAGGAAAGATGAGGAGCAGGAAACTGAGCAGGAGAAAGAACGATATGTTGTACAGACTGTATTTACAGAAGAAATGTTACAGGAGGCAGATATTGCTAAAGGATTTGTGGAGGGACAAGGAAAACCAAAAATAGCAGTAAGGAAAACATTAAGAGAAAAGGGAAGAGACAAACAAGAGGGGAAAAAGTAAAGAAAGGAGTAAAGAAATATAAAGTGTTCAATCAACCAAATACTAGGATTTATGGAAAGGACAACATGGAAATAAAGATGCTGGAGTTTAAAGATCGACGACATGTAGAAGAGAACGGGGAAAATCAAGAAAAGAAAGAACTGAAATATAGTGGTGTGGCAAGAACTGTGGCTTTAAAAAAGCTTTATTTTCTTACCCTCTCTTCTTTGTTTCGTGTGGATTTTGGGAACTCTATAGGATGGCTGAATAAATTGGTGGGGGATGATAGGAAATCTGTTTTATGTGGGCCTTGGTCAGATTAAAAATTGGTACTTGTAATTTCCTGTGGATAAATTTACTATAAATTAACTGGAAATAAGATTTAATAAGGGCAATGGTAGTGGTTACTTGTCATACTGTGAGTAAATTACACGACAGAGGGTGGTACCGCAACAAAGAGTGGGTGTGTTAGATGATAGCAATAATTCCTAGGCTTATGATTAAATATTTTGAGAGTAATATGTTTGTTTTACTGTTAGATAATGTATTTTTCTGATCGTATCTTACGTTATTGTAAATTTAAGCCAGAACGAAACTTATTGTAGGTAAGAGTGGTATTACTAACAATAGAATGACTAAAATGTTTATTATTTATTAGTTTACTATATAAACTATTTTTGGGAAGAGTAGCTGCCCTAGGAAATTAAAAATTGAGCCCCGTGATTAGAGAAAATATGAGGTTGAAAAAAGAGGTGAACAGCTTAATTGAGGGTGTGTTTCAATAAGTAAAATGAATTTATTACAAGTTATTGACTTTGGTAAGAATAATATCTGGCTCTGAGTAAATTTGGTTTTGATAATTTTACTATTAAATAACAGGAAGATAAGGGTAGTAATACCACCAGGACTATGATTAAATATTTCGAGATTAACATGTTTATTTTATAATTATATAATTTATTTTTGTTATTATGGACCACATGATTGTAAATTTAAGCTAGAATGAAATTTATTGTGGGTAAGAATGGTATAACTATCAACAGAATGATTAAATTCTACAATATTTATAAGTTTATTGTAAAAAATATTTTCCCCATGATTAGAGTAAATATGATGTTGAAAATAAGAGGTGAACAGTCCAACTGAGGGTGTATTCCAATAATTAAAATGAATTTATAAAAAGCCATTTTGATATATAGAAGAGAATAGTCTAGCTGACTGGATCTTTCAAAAAGTAGAATGAATATAATAAAAGGTAACTTGATATATAGACATATAGATAAGAAAAATGAGTAAAGATAGGAAAGCAATTAGGGTACTAGAGAATTATTAAGACCAGAAAAAATTTGAAAAGGAGTATGAGAAACATAAGGTGGAATCATAGTTGGTTAGTATAAGAATAGAGAGAAGCTAAATATTGACAGTGTATAACCAAAATGTTAGCAATGTGAGGCATTGAACTGGAAGATTATGGTGATTTATGTTTGTATGTCCATTAAGTGTGAAAATTCAATAAAGAGAAATTTTTTTAAAAAAGGAAGGTCGGTAGTTCAGCAGTTTGAGACCCGAGCGCTGCGTGATGGAGTGAGCTCCCGTCTCCAGCCCCAGCTCCTGCCAACCTAGCAGTTCGAAAGCAAGAAACTGCAAGTAGATAAATAGGTACCACTTTGGTGGGAAGGTAACAGCATTCCATGTGCTTTGGCATTTAGTCATGCCGGCCACATGACCACAGAAACGTCTTTGGACAGTGCTGGCTCTTCGGCTTGGAAACGGAGATGAGCACCGCATCCCTAGTGTCGGATTAGACTGGCTTTCGAGCAAGGGAAACCTTTACCTTTACCTAATAAATTTAACCAAATTCAGTTTTAAACAAAACTGCCTTCAGCTGCCTCCTAGAGAATAAAAGTGAGGGGGGCCCAGGGACACCTCCCAGGAGAGGTCGTTCCCTAAGTGTGGGGCTGCCACTGAAAAGGCCCTCTCTCACGTACCCACGAAGCCAGCTTCTCTGATTGGTGGGACGGTCAGGAGACCCTCTACCTGTGATCTTAATTCCTGGGCGGGAACATATGGGAGAAGGTGTTCTTTCAGGGACCCTGGGGCCTAAACCGTGTAAGGCAGATTCTCATATAGGAAAAGCTGAAGATGATGCGATTACAGGACCTTTTATATAGGAAGTATGGTATTCTGGTATCCAGAGTTTTTAAGAATAATGTGCGAACTCCCTTATGCACCAGTGCACCAAAAGAAAATACCAGGCCTGGTTCAAATATAGCTGTACCTCCTAAATATTCAAAGCTGCAGTGGGAAAAAGGCACAGGAAGTCATCCGAAGATCCATGAACACTTCAATTGTAAAGCAAGCAGGAGTAAGTCTCTTGCTTTAGCTCAGGAGGAGAAGAGAGAAAGGTGCGGTTTCGGAAAAAAGAACAGCCACCCTGTAAACGAGGTCTCTCCACAATCCGCTCACTATAAAGGAGTTCTTTACCCACACTCTTCAGCTTACAACGAATCATCCAAGGGAATAAAATCTCCTGGAACACAAACCTAGGCACAAGATGTACACACTTCTTTCCCAGTCAAAGAAAGAGACCTGCATGCTCAAATCAGGAAGGCTGTCTTTGTTAGAGAAGCACCACTACCGCGTACAGCTCTCCATGTTTATTACAGAGCAAGCACATCACAGCTTGGACCCAGGGTGGTAGGATTCAGAAAGTTCAGGAGAGGAAGGCTACAGAAGTGGCTAAAGGCTGCTCTATACGCACTACAGCTCGATGAGACTACGAGCTTTGCTCTTCCCCAATGCCATACCTTTCTTGAGCAAGGGAGTTTTCTGGTGTCAAGGCTGCTTCTCAGAAGGCAGTGTGTAAGCTGCTGATTCCCCGAGGAATGTTTTGTATGGACCAAACTATTCCCACAATTCCCAGAAGGGGGAGAGGCCACTATGAGCAGTGCTTGGCAAATGTGGCGAAGGAAGCTCTTGCTAGTTGGCTACCACATCTGCTTTGTGGAAAAGCAGCAGCGCGGGTGTTTTGCAAGAGAGTTTCCATGAAGCTACAATGCAGGGACACGGCCTTGAAGAACAAGGATCAATAACGATAATGTTTATGGACAGGGGGATACCTAAAATATATTTAAAGGGGGGAAAAACCCCTAAAGCAGGGGTGTCAAACATTAGGCCCCCGGAGGGCTTCTATCAGGCCCAAAGTGGAACTGGCTGTCTTCTGCAGAAAACTGAACTACAAACTACAACAAGGGTGTCAAACATGCGGCCCAGGGGCCGCATCAGGCCCCCGGGGGGCTTCTATTAGGCCCACAGTGGAACTGTCTGTCTTCTGCTTCTTCTTCCAGTTCTGCTGCTGCTGCATCATCGTAGGGTTGCAGCTTACAGATACATGCCTGAACAGCATACTCAAGATTGCAGCAGCACTGACATTTTGATGCAATAATTCAGAGCAAGAGGTGTCAGTTATCAGATGCTGTTAAATAAAAAAAATATTGCAAGAGTGCTAATGCCTTAAGCATGTTTTTATTTTAAGTAAAAAAAACCCTTT